TCTCATAATTCGCGACTTTTCTTTTCTCACAAACAAATTTTGTTGTCGAGATTTTCAGTAACTCGTGTAATTTATATATGATTTTTCAAATAGAACCCTCTTTTAGTATTTCATATATACTATGTTATCACATTACTCATAATACGGAAAAATGAAGAAGAAAAAATTTTCTTAGAAAAACCATCCTATCACGCAACATTATTAACACCGTCAACACAATTACTAGACGACGAAAAAAATAATCATCCAACACATACAAAACATCGTAAAAAAACGCGAAATTAGAACATTTTCTAAACACCAATTAAAAAATACGACGATCATGTCCTCTTCACTAGCCACGTCACAAGCCACTCACTAATTCTACATACAATAGAAAAAAATCAATCAATCATTTTATCTTAAAATAACATGTGATTTATTGTTTTTGTTTATTTGTAATACAAAGATTAATTGAAAGATTTTCTATGTTAGAAATTTTTTCGTCAATCAGATATTTTTTATTTTTAAATCTTTGTATTAATGTTACACGATAATTAAATTTTAATAAACAATAAATATAAAATTAAAAATTAATATTAATAAATAATTTATCCCCTGCCCGCAAGATAGGACAACTTTATCTTTCCTTAATATATAATATATATATATACATATATATATAATAATTCTTTTTCTCCCTTCCAAAAACAAACCATGGAAACCATAGAACAATCACAAGATGTCAAAGGAGACATTGTAAGACTAATAGCATTAATTATTTGTTGTTGTCAAATAATTCATTATTCATTCATCTTTATTTATTTTAGCCTTCAATTCCTTTTTCACCACTATACTCACCACCTACAAGTCCATCCAACTCGAAACCATTCCCTTCTGCTTCACAAACTACTGGTAGACCAAGGGTCAATGCATTATCAGATCTAATAGAAAGTGAAAAGGTTTATGTATCAGATTTGAAAACTATATTACAGGTTAGTCACTAAAAACAAAACATCCAAAAAAATTTTTAAACATTACTCAAATCTATTTATTATTAGCGCGTAACATCCTGCTGGGACATTGACAATTTACCGCCAACAGAAATAGATAAAATGTTTCGTTTAATTGAAGGCATTTATAAACGAAATAGAAAATTTTGCACGGTAAAGTTTGAAGAGAAACCTTTTACTCTAAAAAAAAAAAGAAATGCATCGAAATGAAAGAACAAA